CCAACCAGACTCTGCACTGAGCGTGGAGCCCTCAGATGGACATTTTTTCATATGTGGTCTTCCATCTTCTGTTAAATATGTTTTGATTAGGGGCACCTGGGTGCCTAGCAGTCGTTAAGCGCCTGTCTTCGGTTCAGGTTATGATCCCAGGGTCCTGGGATCCAGCCCCGCATCGGGCTCCCTGCTCCACAGGAAGCCCGCTTCTCCCTCTCCCACTCCCCCAGCTTGTGCTCCCTCTCTCTGTCAAATAAATAAGTAAAATTTTGGGGCACCTGGGTGGCTCAGTTGTTAAGCGTCTGCCTTCGGCTCAGGTCATGATCCCAGGGTCCTGGGATCGAGCCCTGCGTCGGGCTCCCTGCTGTGCAGGAAGCCTTCTTCTCCCTCTCTCTCTGCCTGCTGCTCTACCTATCTGTGCTCTCTCTCTCTCTACGTCTCGTCAAATAAATAAAATCTTTAAAAAAAACAAGTAAAATTTTTTAAAAAATATATGTTTTGATTATTTTCTAATTTTTAAAGTGTGTGTTCATTTTACTCTGCACACTTTTTTTAAAGTATTTTTTTTTTTTAAGATTTTATTTATCCATCTGACAGAGAGAGAGCATGGGCAGGGGGAGTGGCAGGCAGAGGGAGAAGCATACTCCCTGCTGAGCAAGGAACCTGACTCAGGGCTCGATCCTAGGACCCTGGGATCATGACCTGAGCCGAAGGCAGACGCCCAACCAACTGAGCGACCCAGGCACTCCCTAATTCTTTAATATTGCATGTTAATACAGATTTTTTTCTTCTACCTTGTTTTTTAATTTCCTTAGTTTGATTATGAATTGTTCAGTCTCTTGTTTCAGGTCTTACTCTTTCCCTTATCTGAGAAAATTCTCCCCATTTTTGGATCAATGAAGCATTTATCTATGACTTCTACATGTGTCGTAGTTTTATCTTTCACATTTAAATCTACAATGAATTGGCTATTTTCCATGGAATAGAAGTGAATACAGTGCATTTTTCCAGTTAGATAACAGTTTGTTTTTGCCCCACGTATTAAAAGGGTTTCTGATGTCTGCCACTGCTCTACGATGCCTGATCTGTCCTTGACCAGCTTTCAGTATTTAATGCTGGCCCAGGGAAGATACTTTTCCTTTCCCTTGGTCTGTTTTTCTCTGTGCTAATAGTATGCTGTCTGGAATGCTATGGTTTGAAAATTGATGTATATTAGGCAAGCCGCCCGTTTGTCCTTTAGAAGACCTTGACCATTTTTTTGACATTTGTTCCTCATATTAGGTTTGGAGGAATAGTTTTTGTTGACCCCCAAAAAAGTCTGTTTTGGGGATTGATGGGATTTTATAAAAATACATTTTGGGAGAGGAAACATCTTGGGAAATTGAGTTATTTCTAAGAACATGTACCATATTTTCACTTTTTTTCATTCTCCTTTGATACACAATAAAAATTTAAATCTTGGGACGCTTGGGTGGCTCAGTCAGTGGAGCAGCTGCCTTTGGCTCAGGTCCTGATCCCAGGGTCCTGGGATCGAGTCCCACATAGGGCTCCTTGCTTGGCAGGGAGCCTGCTTCTCTCTCTGCCTGCCTCTTCCCCTGCTTGTGCTCTCTGTCTCTATCTCTCTGTGACAAATAAATAAAATCTTTAAAAAAATTTTTTTTTTTAAATCTTTTTGGGTGCCTGGGTGGCTCAGTCGGTTAAGTGGCTGCCTTCGGCTCAGGTCATGATCGCGGGGTCCTGGGATCAAGACCTACCCATCAGGCTCCTTGCTCAGTGGGCAGCCTGCTTCTCCCTCTCCCTTTGCCTCCTGATCCCTGTGCTTGTGCTCACTCTCTTTCTGTCAAATAAATACATAAAATCTTTTAAAATTTTAAGTCTTTTTCTATTAGAGTAATTAAATATCATTCATTAGTCTTGCTTAGTATTTAATTAAATTTGTTGGGCGGGGGGGTGCCTGGCTGGCTCAGTTGGAAGAGAATGCGCCTCTTGATCCCAGGTCGTGAGTTTGAGCCCCACATTGGGTATAGAGATTACTTAAAAATAAATAAACTTTAAAAAATATATATAAGTAGGGGCGCCTGGTGTCTCAGTCGTTAAGCATCTGCCTTCGGCTCAGGTCATGATCCCAGGGTCCCGGGATCAAGCCCCACATCAGGCTCCCTGCTCTGCAGGAAGCCTGCTTCTCCCTCTCCCACTCCCCCTGCTTGTGTTCCCTCTCTCACTGTGTCTCTCTCTGTCAAATAAATAAATAAAATCTTTAAATATATGTAAATTTGTTCTGGAGGAAACCAGATGCAAGCTTCAAGGAGATGTTATCTCCTATTGTAATCCATAGGATGGGTTCAATTCCCCAAGCAACAATTTGTGACAACACATGTAAAATATTGTCTTCCCGGGAAGCTCATTAGAGACTCAGTGCCTCGGTCACATAGGCACCCTGTGCTGTGCGTAATGAAAGTTCAGACTCTCAGAAGGAAACTAGAGTTTGGGATACATCATATCCTTTGCATAAACAGTTTAGGCACACTGAGTCACTCATCAGATTGGTGGGGCCCCTTCTACATCTTGGCTCCCAGGTACCAGTGAAGGACAAATACTGTGAGTAGGCATTTGTAAGGATCAGCAGTCTCAAGCCTGCTAGTAATGTTCACTCTCTTCTGCACACTAGGTAGTAGGACACTGTTACGAGCAAGTGCTGCACGTCCACTATAGAAAGAGTCTTTAGAGCCAACCCGAGGAGCTCATTGGATCTCTGAGAAGTGTGGGTTTCCTCTTCTGTTTTCTTAACCAAATGGGCAAATTCTGCCATCCAAATTACTGTGTAGGAGCCTTTTCTCTATCACCTACATGTAGACATCAGTGGGTTAATGATCTGTTCAGAGACCAGCATTTGGGAGAATGAATTAGCTGAGGAATATCTGTGCCCAGAGGTTAGGAAGTCATACTCCTGTGCCCCACTGAGGACACAGAGGTGAGAGAAATGGTAGGGCAGCCTCTAAGGCAGCCGGTGGAAAATCACTGCCTCCCGAAATTGGAGAAGGGAAGTTTTTATGTTCTTTTAGAGGAAAACACTGCTGAACCCTTTGTTTTATAACAATGGGTGCATTCACCACCAAACCATTGTGGCTTTCAAATGAACCTCTTTGCAAATTGCAACTTCTTTCCAGTTCCTCAAGCTCAGCAAGGCCTGAGGTACACTGTTAATAGTTCTGCCAGGAAAAGCTCTTCTAGCATCTTATCATCCCAGTAGATGTGCGTATATATGCTAAAAACTGGTGAGAAGCAGCTCTGAGGCCCATGAGTATAGGGATTTTGTGGAGTTCTAAGTTCATTTTCAAACAATTCAGACAGGACAGAAAAACCTACCCTTTCCCTATTTGTAAATAGTAACAATGTAATTCTAGTATTTACTGATAGATAGGAAATTACAAATCAGTAATACCCTTCTGGGTTTTTTTGCAGAAGTCATATGGTAGAGAGGCTCTGTCAAAGTAAAGAAGGTAGTCAATGTGGAGGAAATTTCAGCCCTATTCCAAATCTTTTTTATACCTGGGCTGTAATTTCTGAGTAACTTTGGAAATGGGACAAATAGAAAGGAGTAACTGAATCTCTGAAATATCTTTATAGACAAGTTAAAATTAATGCTCTCTACCAGATATTTTCATTCAGCCAGACGTATCTGACTACTACTAATGGCCTGGAGTACTTCAGGACAATAGGGCTAGCTGGTCCTAGTTATGAATTGGATTCCCACGGGCCCTCTCGCCTTACATGTTTGGCCGTGGAAATAGAAGGAAAAGCTCCCAATGTTTCGCTATGTTTTTATTCATTAAAACTTCATGAAGATGTGACCCTGTGCTTCATGTGCTGTGTGATAATGGTGTGTAATAAGGAAGGAGCTGAGTTTTTTTTCTCACAAGGAATTGATGGTCTTAAAATGGAAATGTTTCTTTCCTTTGTATATCATTTATTTCATTCTCTAATGTGCTTGGGACTCTACCATTAGAGAGCAATGAGACTTGAAGTGAAACTAGTAAAAAAGTAGAAATAATTTATGTGTGTTCATGATGCTCCTAAATTTATGAGGAAATGATTACATATCGAGAGTGAGAATTCTGATGACCAAGTCATGGAATATTTTGAGATTACAGAATCATGTGAACTTCTTATGAATTGACTATAGATTTCTAGTGCTGTCTCATTCATCCTCCTCTACACATAATGTGGGACGTTTTAGGACCCAGTGGCCTTTGAGGATGTGGCTGTAAACTTTACCCTGGAGGAATGGGCTCTGCTGGATCCTTCACAGAAGAAACTCTACAGAGATGTGATGCGGGAAACCTTGAGAAACCTGGCCTCAATAGGTAAGGATGACACCTTACTTTCACCTTGTCAATCAGAGGACGAGTGTTTCTTGCCCATCAGTGTTCTTTGATTTGGAATGGAGAAAAGGAATACTTTGGTAAATCAGGCATGGTCAGAACTCATCATGGACTTGTAATAATTCTTCTATAATTTATTGTTTTTTTCTGGGTTTTCATTGTAGGGAAAAAATGGAAAGACCATAACATTGAAGATCAGTACAAAAACCAGGGAAGAAAACTAAGGTGAGTTGCATTCATGATGGAAAGGAGTGTCCCAGGGAATCTTTTGTATGTTACAAAAATTTAAAAGCAAGCAGTCACGAGACAGCCCAGCTTCAAATGTATTTTTTCCTAGAAAATTTTCACCAAAAGCATTTTCTTAAATGTGACAAATCTTCAGTATTTGCAAAATAGTTCATTTGGAAATATTATTGAGAAACTCCATATATAACTATCACTGTTTTCATATAATAGTTACAGTTGAGTCCTCTTACAGAATATTCATTTTCAAACAATTCAGACAGGACAGAAAAACCTACCCTTTCCCTATTTGTAAATGGTAACAATGTAATTCTAGTATTTACTGGTAGATAGGAAATTACAAATCAGTAATACCCTTCTGGGTTTTTTTGCAGAAGTCATATGGTAGAGAGGCTCTGTCAAAGTAAAGAAGGTAGTCAATGTGGAGGAAACTTCAGCCCTATTCCAAATCTTAATCTGAACAAGAAAACTCCTACTGAAGTAAAACCATGGGAGTGCAGTGTGTGTGGAAAAGTCTTTATGCGCCATTCATCCCTTAATAGGCATAAGAGATCTCACACTTCACCTAAACCATACAAGTATCAGGAATATGGAAAAAAGCCTTATAAATGTAAAGAATGTGGAAAGGCTTTCAGCTATCTCCAACCTTTTCAAAAACACGAAAGAAATCACAGTGTAGAGAAATCTTACAAATGTAAGGAATGTGGGAAATCCTTTAGATATCGCCAATCTGTTCGAAAACATGAAAGGACTCACACTGGAGAGAAACCCTATCAATGTAAACAATGTGGAAAAGCCTTTAGATATCATCAAACCTTTCAGACACATGAAAGGACTCACACTGGAGAGAAGCCCTATCAATGTAAGCAGTGTGGTAAAGCCCTCAGTTGTCCCAGTTCCTTTCGAAGTCATGAAAGAACTCACACAGGGGAGAAACCCTATGAATGTAAAAAGTGTGGTAAAGCTTTCAGTTGTCCCAGTTCTCTTCGAAAACATGAAAGAACTCACACTGGAGAGAAACCCTATGACTGTAAGGAATGTGGGAAAGCCTTCATTTCTCTTGGAAGCTTTCAAAGACATATGATAACGCATACTGGAGTTGGACCTTATAAATGTAAGGAATGTGGGAAAGCATTCAGTTGTCCCAGTTCATATCGAATACATGAAAGATCTCACACTGGAGAAAAACCCTATGAATGTAAACAATGTGGTAGAGCCTTTAGTTGTTCTAGTTCCTTTCGAACACATGAAAGGACTCACACTGGAGAGAAACCTTATCAATGTAAAGAATGTGGAAAAGCCTTCCATTGGCTGACCACTTTCCAAGTGCATGTGAGAACTCACACTGGAGAAAAACCCTATATATGTAAGCAATGTGGTAAAGCCCTCAGTTGTCCCACTTCCTTTCGAAGACATGAAAGGACTCACACTGCAGAGAAACCCTACGAATGTAAACAATGTGGGAAAACCTTCAGTTCTCCTCTAGGTTTGCAAATACATGGAAGAACTCACACTGGAGAGAAACCCTATAAATGTGAGGAATGTGGGAAAGCATTTGTTTCTCTCACAAGTTTTCGAAGACACATGATGACACACACTGGAGATGGACCTTACAAATGTAAGGAATGTGGGAAAGCCTTCAATTGTCCCAGTTCATTTCGAATACATGAAAGGACTCACACAGGAGAGAAACCCTATGAATGTAAAATATGTGGTAAAGCCTTTAGTTGTTCAAGTTATGTTCAAGTACATGAAAGAACTCACACTGGAGAGAAGCCCTATGAATGTAAGGAATGTGGGAAAGCTTTTATTTATCGTACAACCTTTCGAGGACACATGAGAGTGCACACTGGAGAGAAACCCTATAAATGTAAAGAATGTGGGAAAGCCTTCAGTCGACCCAGTTCATTTAGAAGCCATGAAAGAATTCACACTGGAGAGAAACTCCTTGAATGTAAACATTGTGGGAAAGCCTTCAACTGGCCCACATCCTTACATAAACATGTGATGAGAATGCACAGTAGATAGGTAAATTATAACCGAAAAATACAGGAGCATTTTCAATCTTAACAAATACAAGGTCATGTAAAAACACCACTGGAGAGAAGTGCTATAAATGTAAGTAATAGGGGAAAGTCTGATACAAATTAAATCAAGCATAATACTCCAGAGAATTCACTATATGAAAGAAATGCTTCAAAAGTTAAAAACAATGAATTTCATTCTGAAACTCAGGATCTGGACTATGGCTTCCAGTTGTTGCTTTTCAGCTGAACATTGAGTTGAGACAATTCTGTAAGCACTGTTTAAGCAATAGTACATAAGCTTAGTAGATAGTGTTTTTCCTTGAATCAGCTTATAAAATGTTATCTTTCCATTTTGAAGTTTGTTGGATCTATGGGTGAGTTAAAGTGTATTTCTAATATATAAGGAGGGTTAATTTTTATATAATTTTTTAACTGTTCAGTAAGTGAAGGGGCCATGGAATAATGACATTTTGGTATTTGTTGGGATTTTCCTATTGACCTCATGTCACAGGTACTGGATATTCCTTAGCTGTTAAAAGTATTCCTCCTTTCATATGAGAAAAGATTTCTTTTTCTTTCATGAAAAGAGCCTTATTTTCCTGGCTAATAAATAGTTGGCATAAATTTGTAAGTATGCAGAGTTTATCATAGAGTATTATCTCATTAGAATTGCCATTTACATATTTTCCCTTTACTCTTTGTCATTTCTTCTGTGATTTGGATATTACACTTTAAGAGACCTGTGATCAGACAAAAAAAAATGTAAAATTGGAGATGTCTCTCCTGGAATGTGCTCGGTCAACATGGGTAATGTTTTGACCTAATTTTCTAGAATCTGTTTTCTTTATAGTTTCATGTTAGAATTCACTAATAGCCTCACTTGCATGAGATTTGAAAGGCAGAAGGGAAGAAGGCCTTCGTTTTTGGAGTCACAGTACAGGCAGTGATAAGACCAGAGGAGTTTTGCATACATCGTCCAGCCCATTTTGCTGATTCTTTGTCCTGCCAGTCAAGAGTATCTTCAATACCACCACCAACTACTTGACTTCCATTTTCTCAGAGCTGTAGGTTTCCACAGATGCCTCCACAAGTTCCACAGCAGAGTTCGATGCCATTTGGATTTTCCTGCAAGCCATCATGTGTCCACCAGGCAACACATTTAGACTATCATTGTTGAGAATGTTCTTTAAAGTGCTGACTTCCCTCTTCTCTGGATTGTATTTGTATAAGGTCTCATACCTGTAGTAAGCATCTTGTTCTCCTAAACTCCTAATGACTGTGGGTTCCCCATTCCACCAACACGGCTACAGTGATGCAGTCAAAAGGAACCATGTGGTAGTTTGTTTCTCTACTGCATTGTACAGTGACTTCTGTAACCCAGTCCTTTCTTGTGAGAATAAGCACCTTCCACTTACAGGCAGATTGTGGGTGTTTCTAACTACTCACAACTGAACCTAACTCTTCAGTACATTTTCAGTTACGTTTGTATGTGATTTACAATTTTTTTTTTTTTATCAAACCAGTGTTTCTGTACATGTTCCTTCAAGGTGTCTTATTAACTTGTATAGTAACAAATATTTTCTCCATTTCCTGATAGGATATATTAAAACATGCCACTGCAATTGTGGATTTTCAAGTCAACTTGTAATTTTGTCATCATTATACATTCTGAGTCTATATCATCATGTGCATACAAGTTAAAGTATTTTTTCAATTTTTTTTATTCTGTAGTTAATTTTTGTAATTAAACGTCTCATCATTCTTAATTCCAAAAACTTACATCATGGTTTTGTCAGTGCCTTCTTTCCAAAGACTACCAGAATGACATCTGTAGTCAAAAAGAGAGAGGTGGAATGCATTGTAGTAATTAAAGATGACCACAAACCATAAATAACAATGGATATCGGGCACCTGGCTGGCTCAGTTGTTGGATCATGTGATTCTTGATCTCGGGGTTGTGAGCTTGAGCCCCACATTGGGTGTAGAGATTACTTTTTTAAATAAATTTTTTTTTTATTAAAGATTTTTTTTTTTATTCATTTGAGAGAGAGAATGAGATAGAGAGCATGAGAGGGGAGAGGGTCAGAGGGAGAAGCAGACTCCCTGCTGAGCAGGGAGCCCGATGTGGGACTCGATCCTGGGACTCCAGGATCATGACCTGAGCCGAAGGCAGTCGCTTAACCAACTGAGCCACCCAGGCGCCCGAGATTACTTTTTTAAAAAGATTTATTTTAGAGAGCGAGAGAGAGCACACGTATGAGTGGGGAGAGGGGCAGAGGGAGAGAATCTTCAAGCAGACTCCCAGCTGAGCGTGGAGCCAGACCCGGGTTTCAAACCCATGACCCATAAGATCATGACCTGAGCCAAAACCAAGTGGGACGCTTAACCGAGTCACCCAGGTGCCCCCAAAATAAGTAAAAATTTTTTAAAAATGGATTGTATCAGTGTGAAGTTGCTCAAATGGTCTAGGATTTGGACTTGTGAGACTCCTACAGAAATTAATACATTTAAAAGCAGACATGTAAAAATTTTTAAAAAATAAAAAATAAAAGAGCATGTATACAAGGGAATTGGGGGGGAAAGCACACCCCAGACCGAGGGGAGACCCAAGCCCAGAAAAGGCCCAAGAATGCCTTAAGTCTTCATGCTAGGCTGGTAGTGGAAGTCTTCCTGTGCATGGAGCCATTCTGCAAGGAGTTCAAACGCCCAAGTTTCAACATAAGATCACATGGCATACAGAGATACTTGAAAACATGGCTCACTCCAAAACAAATTAAATCATAAATCTCCAGAAGCCAACCCTAACGAAGCACAGACTTCAGACTTAGTAGACAAAGAATTTAAAATAATACTCTTGGGGCACCTGGGTGGCTCAGTTGGTTAAGCATCCAACTCTTGATTTGGGCTCAGGTCATGATCTCAGGGTTGTGAGATCAAGCCCCATGTCAAGCTCCATGCTGGGCATGGAGCCTGCTTAAGATTCTCTCTCACTGTGCACCTCCTCCCACTGGAGCGTGTGCGCAACACTAAAAAAAAAAAAAAAATACACACACACACATATACACACAAACACTCTTAAAGGGTTTAAGAGGAAAATAAAGTCAGGAGAAGAATAGATGAAGAAATTGAGAACATTAAAGAGAAATTTTTTTAAAAACGATTTTGTTGATTTTATTGGTTTATTTGGCAGACAGAGCAGGAGAGCACAAGCAGTGGGAGCGGCAGAGGGAGAGGGAGAAACAGGCCCCCTGTTGAGCAGGGAGCCCAATGCGGGGCTTGATCCCAAGACCCTGGGATCATGACCTGAGCCGAAGGCAGTCACTTAACCAACTGAGCCACCCAGGTGCCCGAGAAATTTTTAAACTGAATTGAAAAAAGTCACTAGAGGGATCAAAAGCAGATTTGGAACATGCAGAAGAAACAATCTGTGAACTTGAAAACAGGTCATTTGAAATGGTAAGTCTGAGGAGCAGAGAAAAAAAGAATAAAGGAAAGTAAGCCAAGGAACTTCTGGGATACCATTAAACCGACCAATATTCACATTATGGGAGTCCCGGAAGGAGAAAAGGGAGAGGAAGGGGCAGAGAATTCATTTGAACCAGCAGTGGTGGAATATCCTCCTTTCTCTGTCTTCTCAGTCTGCTATTTCCATTATGCATATGTTTTTGTACTTAGTATTCCACATTTTCCGAGGAGACCCTTCATTTTTCTTCATTCTTATCTGTTATTTAGATTGCACAATCTCTCCATCTGTAACTTCTCGTTGATATACTGTAATGTGACATCATTATCATATCCTCTTTTACTTCTTTAAATATGGTTTCCCTTAGTTCTTTGAGCATATTTATAATGGGTGCTCTGAAGTCTGTGTTAAATCTATCATCTAGATCATCTCTCAGGCAGTTGTCTCCCTTTTTCTGTTTTAAGCCAGTCATTTCCATTTACTTGCATGTATTATACATTTTCAGTTGAAAATTGGACATTCTAGATCGTGTACTTTTCAGGACTGCTTGTTTTATTGGTTTTGTGATTAGCTGACCTTTTGGTGACATCTGTTTTTTTCAATGTGAGCCTCAGATGTTGCTCTCCAGAGGGCACAGCCCTGGGCTTGCTTACAGTCTCAATGGGATGACTGGTTTTGACAGGGCTCTCTCTTTTTTTTTTTTTTTTTTTAAGATTTTATTTATTTATTTGAGAGAGAGAATTAGATAGAGAGCATGAGGAGGGGAGGGTCCGACGGAGAAGCAGACTCCCTGCTGAGCAGGGAGCCCAATGCGGGATTCGATCCTGGGACTCCAGGATCATGACCTGAGCCGAAGGCAGTCGCTTAACCAACTGAGCCACCCAGGCGTCCCTCTCTCATTGACTCTTTTCCCTTATCACACTGTTATGGCAGACTGGTTGCTTTATTGTTTTTAACAGTACCCTGGGGCATAAATTGCTCCAGAGCCTGACCCAATTTCATTCCTGCCCCTTTGTAGAAGTAGTTTTTGAGGCCAGGGTTTGAGGTTTGTTCTAATCCCAAGAGGGCTTTCCTTATCTGTCTTTCCCTGGTTCTCTAGTAAACTAGCTGGCTGGCTTGTTTCATATAGTGATCTTGTGAAGATACTAGCTTCCACTTCATGGCTTGCCCTCAAAACCTCCATTGTCTTCAAGAGCACCCTTAGTCATGAAATTCCACCCATTTGTTTCAAATAAACTTAACCCTTTTGGAGAGAGCTTTGGAGCTATCTGCTCTTAGGAACTGCCTCTGCCTATGAACAAAATCCTTGCACCACAACTCTGGAATAATGGGTGGGGACATTGGTCTGCTTTTCTCTGAATAACCCTCCCCGTTTTGGAAAGATTTTATTTGAGAGAGAGCACGAGCAGGGGGAGGGTCAGAGGGACAAGCAGACTCCACACTGAGTGCAGGAGCCCAACGCAGGGCTCGATCCCAGGACCCCGAGATCATGACCTGAGCCAAAGTCAGATGCATAACCAACTGAGCCCCTGAATAACCCCCTTTTAG